GAAGTGGTGGTTTGAAAATGGGAACACAGATGGTGCTGAGAGCACAGATGCACACCTTCTTTCTGGTTCCATTTGGCTATAAAAAAAGCACTGCCAAGTAGGTCATTGATTGTTTTCTTCTACTCCTGCCTTGGGCCATTCAGAAGGTGACCCTGAGTTCCTTCTGAGACCTTCTTATACTTTTGTGTATGTGCATGCATGCTCAGTCATGTCCGACTCTTTGCCACCCCATAGACTGTGGCCCTCCACGCTCCTCTGTCCATGGAATTTCCCAGCAAGAATACTAGAGTGGGTTGTCATTTCCTCCCTCAGGGGATCTTCCCAACCCAGGGATCAAACCTGCATCTCCTGTGTCTCCTGCACTGGAAGGTGGATTCTTTACCACTGAATTATCAGAACCTAGAGTTCTGATCATTCTTAGCCAAAGGTATATGACAGTCTTCTCCCAGCTTCATGCTATGGCTCCTAATTTAATTTAACTTAAATCACTTGCCCATCATGTGTATATTGAGTGCCCCCTGCCCTCTACTGTGTCATGTGGAAAGGGGAATGCATGTGAAGCATAAGGTACAGGATCTACCTTCAAGGAGTTTACCATCTAGATAGGATTCCTACACCTGACTGGGTCAGAAAAACATGATCATATTAAAGAAACCACTACTAGAATTCCTTTTGGGAAGGGAACAGAGTTTCTTTAGGATAAAGAGCTTCATAAATGCTTTATGAAGAGTGTAAGGTGCTCTTTATGGAAAGCAGAAGATAAGACCTCCCTCCTGCAAAGAATCCAGCTGTAGGTTAAATACTTCTGTGTTATAATGGGGGAAGGTGTTGCTTGTGCAGATATAGGAAGACAAAGATAGGGTCTGAGCCTCTCATGTGTTAGAAAGCTTCCCTTTTCATGATGGAATCTGCTCTTTGTGAACTTTAAAATCTACATACAGTAGAGGATTTGAACCCACAACATTCTTTTTGTTTGTTTGTTTTTGCTACACCACACAGCATACAGGATCTTAATTACCAGACCAGTTACTGAGCTCATGCCCTTTGCAGTGGAAGCATAGAGTCTTAACCACTGAATCACCAGGGAAGTCCCCCAACAGAATTCTTAGTATAGGTTTTTTGGTTTTGTTTTATTTTTTGTGTGTGTGGAAACTGGTGACGGCACTGAACCTTACACTCAGGACAGCTCAGACTAAAGGGCTGCAGCAGAGAAAACTCATGGGATTATAGGAAGTTATTGATAGAAATTAAAGAGATCATGGTCAGCCTGACCCCCACAAGCTGTAAAAGTAGCTTTTTGTCCATATTTATTTAAATTCCCAAAGGCATAGAGTCCATGACATTTAGTTTCCATATGCATATGATAATTGAATAAGAGCACCAAAAAGATGAGCACCAAGTGTAGAAGCTACACCTGGGAAGAATGTGGTGAATAATCATCAATTCCACTTGCCTCAGGATTCCCAGGTGGTGCTAATGGTAAAGAACCCGTCTGCCAATGCAGGAGATGCAGGCTTGATCCCTGGGTTAGGAAGATTCCTTGGAGTGAGGCCATGGCAACCCACTCCAGTATTCTTACCTGGAGAATATCCATGGGATGGAGAATTGCATGGACAGAGGAGCCTGGTGGGCTATAGTTCTTAGGGTTGCAAAGAGTTGGACACAACTCTTTGTTGTGATAAATCAGAAGCAATTTATCATGCATGTACCACATGCTAGATTCTAGGCATTGCTCTAAGCACTTTCCATATGTTATTTCATTGGTTCATCAGAACAACTCTGAGAACTGAATATTTTTATGTTTGTTTTGCCATTGAGGAAACAGGGACCCCAGAGGGTATGAGGCCTCTGGAGGTCACAGAGCTATCAAGTGGTAGACCCAGAATTTGAATCCATCTGTCTGGCTCCAGGTGCCCTCCCTGAAGACAGTGTCCACAGCAAACATAATTTTAAGATGTAGGACATAAATCAAGGGGCTTCAGAGTCCAAAGGAGAGGGGAGAATGGGAGCTGGAGTGGAAGGAAAAGTTACACAGAGGAATTAAGCCTGGCCTGGGGTCAGCGCTGGGCAGGCAATGGGACTGGTGAAGGCGCAGTGGGAGGAAGTAGAGGATGGAGCGTACCTGCAGATGTTGGATGAAGGTTGGTGAAGGGGTGAGCTCGGACCTCAGGGAGCTTTTGACTCATAATGTCTGCCAGGCATCCTACCCTTCTGCTGCTCTCATTGTAAGAGGCCTCACCTCCATAGAATAAAACAAACTGTAAAGCCTACAGGTCTCTTCTCACCTGTTTTGGCCATTGCCTGCTTCTGTGACTCTAGGTATGCTTGCCTGAGTCTCAGTTTTCTCAACATAAAACGAGTGAGCTGGGCCAGATAAGCTCTGTAATTCCTTTAAAGTTAAAAAAAAGTCTGTGGTCCTATAACTTAAATCCTCCAATAGATTCAAATCAATTTGTATCCAAAGATTAGGGGGGAAATTAGGGCTTATGAAATATCTTTCAGGACTGTGACCAGGTTGCCTTTCAGATATGGCTGACCTGGCAGAAATTGGTCATGTATAGGACCTTGGAGGAGGACAAGAGGAGCAGATAGCTTTCATTCTCCTGAGACCCTGAAAAGAAAGAGACAGCTGTTGCTATTATGTCCTCTGGGCCAGTAATATGCCCCAGTTATGACAGTTATGCCCCAGTCCCAGTAATATGCCCCAGTTTCATTTATGTGAGTAGGTAGGTGGCTGGGCTGTCACAACAGAAGCAACTCTCATTTGGCAGGTGTTACTTATGCACTTATGTCATCTTCTATTTTCTAGTTTTACTTTAATTAATTTCTTTAGCTATCTTGCTATTTTCTAGTTTTAGGTACATCACCTTATTGGTTTTTTATATAAAAGAAATTTGAAAGAAATGCTATTTTTTAAATTCACTTATGTAGTTGCAGTGCTTGTTCTTAAATTAACTGTTGTTTTAGACGGTCTCAAAATACATGAGGGAAGAAAAAAGAGGAAATAGTCTTGAAATACTAAGTGTTACTACAACTGTTTGCTGGGTCCATCCCATGGGTTGAAGAAACCTGGTGGTACTTAGGCTGCTGGCCCTGCTTCTTTATCTTGGGATTTGAAAGGTTTCTCCATGAGTTTTCTGGTGTTGGCAACATAAGCACTAAATAATCAATCTGTCACTGTTCCTCAGATACACACACACACACACGTGAAGTGGGCTCTCAGCAACCCTCAGCCATTCAGGTGAGAGCTGCTCACAAGGCAAGTCCAGCTCCCACGCAACTTTGTCCTCACATCTCAGACTTTATGTGAATTTAGAAGCCTCATTACAACTCTGCTTGCACCCTTGCTTTCTGATTGGGGGTCATGTGACTGTTAAATTGTTATCTGGCAGGGTTAAAATATGTTTAGTTCTGGGAAGAAACTCTATAATTAAGATGCTTACAAAACCCCAGTTCAGTGGGATTCCCTGGGATGTCTTGATGTGTTAAAGACCTAGAAAGAAAAAAATCTTTTCAAACCCTGGAGGCAACTTCTGCTCACCTATCAGGCTGAAGGCCCAATTGGATCTTGGCAGGATGCATTTTATCAGTTTGTTGCAACTTCAGGCTATATCTCTGGCCAACTTTGTAAATGTCTGAATTGTGTCTGTAAGTAACCTGCCCTTCTGTCCCCTACTTATTCATTTCTATCAGTTACTTCCCAACAAATCCATCACAGATTTAACAACAAACAGCCTGATTCCACAATCATCTTTACAAATTACTCATCTTTCTATTTAGAATGTGAATGCTATTACTTCACTTGGAACCCTAGTGCTTTGGGTTGTCTGCCACTGTTCATTACCCTGATGTAACTTAACCCCAAGCCCATACATCTCCCTGACTCTCCAAGAAGTCTGTCTTCAATATTCAGCCATGTTTGTACTCTTAGACCGACCTATAGTTCTCAAGGATCTCTGCGCCCTCTTCCTTATCCACAAAATGGGAGTAATGAGTATCTACCTCATAGGATTGCTTTGAGGATTAAATGCATTAATAGACAAGATGCAGTAAAAATGCTTGGTCCATTGTAAATGCTCAGTAATTACCTATTATTACCTTATTGAGCTAAATGTCTTATTTACTAAGATGCTGCTCCTGGTTCAGAAGGATTTGGTAAAGGAGGGAGAGGACAGAAAGCAATGAAAACTGGCTCTCTGGTTTTTAACTTAGTGACTGGCACTCCAGTGATTCAGAGGAAAACTACATGCTTTGCTTTCAGTTCAGGTCTAGTTGGTTCAATACAATTATTTGCATGGAAGGACAATAATAGCACTACTGTGTTTATTTTAAAAACAAGGTAGATCCTCCTTCCTCCTGGTGTCTCATGAGAACTATGTGGGAGTATGGGGACAGCATGTGGAGCCATCATGTTCTTTTTACCGAAATGGATACAGGACACATTAGAAATTTAAAAACAGAGAGACCTAGTAGAGAAGTTGACTTAGGAAAAAACAAAGATAAGTTTAGCTTTCAGTTCAGTTCAGTTCAGTCACTCAGTCGTGTCCGACTCTTTGTGACCCCATGAATCGCAGCACGCCAGGCCTCCCTGTCCATCAACAAGTTTACTCAAACTCAAGTCCATCGAGTCGGTGATGCCATCCAGCCATCTCATCCTCTGTCGTCCCCTTCTCCTCCTGCCCCCAATCCCTCCCAGCATCAGGTAGTCACGTGGTAAAATAGGTAAAGTGAAATGAAAAATAAAACATCTGAATAGAAGAGTCTTTACAAAAACTAGGAGCCTAGAAGTCAAGTATAGTGACAGAAATCAGGATAAGGAAACAGATCTGGAACTCTTCAGTGGGCTAAATTTGATCTCTAAAGCCATGAGAATTAATGTCTCTCTTGAGAAGGAACATAGGCAGAAAACATGAGTCTAGGTCTCCCCACTTCTGCGTGGGATGTTTTTAAACTCACAGTGCTTTTGAGTTTGCCCTTTAACTTTTTTTTTTTTTTTCCAGAATCAAGACAATGGGGACTATATGCCGGGCTCTTCTTAGGGGGCATCGTTGGCATTATCATGATTCTCCAAGTGGTGATACTACTGTTGAGAAGAAGAGGTAGGTGTCTGACAACAGAGATTCTTATCAGACTCCCTGTGGTGAGCAGGGGAGCTCTCCCCACAAGCACTTGCTCTCACCAGTTTGGCTTTCTGCAGGAAACAAGCGCCTTTGCAAAAACACTAAATAAACATATCCTGAGACCTTGTTTAATTCAGCCTCATTCAACATGTCTTGCTTGATCCCCCCACGCTAGTCTATAGGGATGAAAGGAAAGATGAACCACAGGTATATAACATAGGAGACATTACACAGATAATTTAAATTCAGTATGACAAGCACTGCAGCTGAAGTGTGTATAGGATGCTGAAGATAAGAGGCTGAAACTAGGAGCAGAATTCAGAGCAGTCTTGGATCTTGTTCAAGTGAAGCTATATCTACTGACTGATCAAAAGAACCTTATAGTAAGACGTTTTTACCCAAGGGTTGAAACCTTTCTATAATTTCTTTTTATGCTTAAGATATGTCTCTGAGAAAAGGAGGGGATAGTTGTTTCCAGGTGACTTAGCAGTGGGGTAACCAAGGCACAGAGAGGCTAAGTGACTCCTGCAAGCTCACCCAGGTGGTTGGTGAGGGAATCAGAACTGCAACTGTGTGTTCCCACTCCCAGGGTATGTTCCTCTGGGAAGGCCCACAGGTCATCAGAAGACAGCAGAGGGAACACACTTTACTATGATTTAGCACATATTCTGACTCACCTTGGTCAAGTGTGCAATCCATGAGGTCACTTAAAGCCAAACTAAATAGTTAATGGAAAGTCACCCAGGGTAGACTGAAACAATTACGGTCCAATGACTCCCTTGAAGTTTCAATGTCTAGCGTTAGTATCTCCTGGCTTCTCCTCCACGTTTTCCTGTGATTCAATATCTCAAGGCCATGTGCTCTCCTCTGCCACACTACCCCCCACCCGCCCACACCAGCCACAGAAGCTCCTGCTCCGCAATCAGGACAGGTCCCCGGGCTGGTCTGCCCATGAGGAAGACAGAACCTGATCTTCGCACCACTGATCTGATGGCCAATGTCATTCTCAAGCAGATTAGTGTTCTCCACATATAACCTTCTTGGAAAAGCCCTACCTCAGCACTCTGATGTTGGTTTTGCTTATATAAAATAATCTAGGTCATAGCAGGCCACCTACCTTGTCTCATTTCCTCCATCTAAGAGGTAGCTGGGGAGGAACTGGGAGGGGGTGGGGCGATTCAGACAGACATCGTGATGAAAGCTTATGGGGATGAGGCCCGGTAACCACTTTTGGATAAGATGATAAAGAAGCACTGAAATACTAGCAATGAGAAAACTGAGATTCGTGCCTGCATTAACCCTGCTGGCGAAGGTCCTGGGATCCTAACCCACACTCTTTCCTCAACTACATCCTGCTATCACGTGGTTACCTCTAAAGGGAATAGTGCTCCTCACCCCACAGTAATTCTTTATCACTTTTCCCAACACACGTACCCATCCTTGTTTCTAATCACTGTGTATTCTTTGTAAGCCAGGAACACACAAAAATCTTGCCTTAAATCTGTGGTTAAAACCTATACTTAATTACTGTAACCCCATAAGACTTTGTTCAAGAGATTTTATTGGCCACGTCTACCGGTGTCATTTCCAGAATGCAGTCCATGTGAAGGTTTTCAAATGGACTCTCTGGAAATTCTGGGCCCAGGAGGTACATTGGGTAAGAACAGAGATTTTAGCCTTCAAATGCAGACCTTGCCACTTATGAGTTCTGTGATCAAACAGATAATCTAACTTCTCCTCTGCAAAATGGGGATAATAATACATACTTCATGGCATTTTTGTGGGGATTCAAGAGTCAATAGCAGAAAGCACTGATAAATGATGCATGATAGATGGATAAATAGATGGATGGATACATACTTACATAGAGAAATAAAGTTTTTAACGTAGGCATTACTATTTAAATCCTATTGCCAGAAGAGGGCAGCACTGGAAGGCTCTGGGAAGAACACACAGAGCGGATTTAAAGTATCAATACTTGAGGTTGGGGTGACATAAGACAACTTATTGCCGCACGTAAGAGTTGAAAAAGAATAGTAGACCGTCCACTCCTTTATCTTACAGTGATGGTAGGAGAAGAGATCCATTGAGATGACATGTGTTATCTAATGCCACACAACTAATGAGGACTAGAAGGTAGATGCCCCAATTCTAAGGCCAAGAACTTTTTCATTAGATCCTAAGGTCTCAGTGACTAGAGTTAAGCTGGCTCATGAAAACTTGTCCCTGCATTGAGGGAAAAAATAAAGAAACTGGATTATCTTGATCCAGCAGTCTTTTTGAGAAGCAGCGTTCAGCCTTTTGCATCTCTCTGACTGTTTAAGACTGTCCCCTCTACTATAATTTTCAGCGTGAGCTGACATGAAAGACTGAAAGTCCTTAAGGTTATTCTCTACCCTCTCTGTTCCCCTACAACACTGAGGACAGTGCTGAGTGAGGGTTCTAACTGTACAGACACCCTGGATTTGAACTGAAACGATGTCTTTCACAGAACTAACTTGCAAGCCCTCTGTTATCTCCTCCGATCATCCCAATCTCTATTCTCCATTCCTATATCCAAACACGTGCACACTCCACTCAGACCAAAAAAGGGAAGTTACAACCACCAGGTAAGTAAGCACTCCATGCCCACACCCACACAGGAAAACCATATTTTGGTTTCTTTGAATTCTCTGAGCTTCTCCTGGGGCTGCCCATCATTTCCTCCCCAAGGGTCACACCCTCAAGCAGCACGTTCCGCCACCTTTATCACGAACATACACACAAGGCCTTTTCCTTCCAAATGAAGATATACCTTTCCTAAGTGTTATTTCCTCAGAGACATGTCTAGATTTTTAAGAGAATAAATTAACTGGTGTTAAAATAAGTCTTCCCTAAAGATTGTGATTTCCTCTGCATTAAGCCCTATTGCTTTTGCTTTGACTTTGCCATAGTCCCCAAAACAGGCATCCTTGCTTCTGTTTTTTCCCTCCATCATTCTCACTACTTTATGATGCATGCAAAGCATACCATGAAACATCAGAAAGAATGAGATCGATCTACTGCTCTAGCAAGGAAAAGGTCCTCAATATATGGTAAGGGAGAAGGTCGTGTTGCAGAGAAGTGTGTATGGAATGACCATATTTGCATTGAAAAAATCTATACAAGTATCCAGAACCACATTGTCTAATTTGCTGGTCACCAGTCGCATGTGGCTGTTTAAATTTAAATTATTTAGAATTAAATGCAATTGTTTTAAAATTTTTATTGAAGTATAGTTGATTTACAATGTTGTGTTAATTTCTGCTGTATAGCACAGTGATTCAGTTATACATTTATGTATATTCTTTGTCATAGCATTGAAAGCAATTTAAAATTGAAGAGTTGAACTGAAGGTTCAATTCCTCAGTTGCATTAGCCTCCATTCAAGTGCTCAGTAGCCACTTGAGAATTGTAGCTACCATATTAGATTGCTGATAGGGAACATTTCAATCATCAAAGATGAAGTTCTATTGTACAGAGTTCATCTGGAAGGAGATACATCAAACTGTTAAAACTATTACTTCCGAGAATGAAATCATACTGGTTACTGGGTGAAGGAGGAAGGAGGAAGTACTTTTTGCTCTCCACTATTTAAATTTTTGTGACAATGAATTATTTCTATAGATTTAAAAAGAAAAAAGTTTAAAACTATTTAAAAATTTAAATGTTCTGCAACATATTAATTTTCAGAGGCCCTGGACTTTGAGGGGAAAAAAAAAAAGATGGTAGGCATTAGAATGACATGGCAGCTTTATTCCAAATAGTCCCTGGCAGATCATCCCTCTTATACCCCTCCCACTACACATCTACCAGGTTCTCCAGAAACAAGGAGGTGAGAAAACTGTGAATGAACCTCTATGAACTGAAGAATACAAAAGAGGTGTAAATAACTTTCCATACCCTTAAAAAACTTGGAATTCTAATAGGAGACTAGATATGCACATCAAACAATAGAGATCAAAATAATCAAAAGGCATATCAATTACACCTGACAATTACATGTAACACTATGTGCCAGGGACCATCCTATACATTTTACAGGCAATATATCATGTAATCATCACAACAGCCCTGAGAGGCAAGTATTTCAATCTAATTTCACAGATGGGGACATCAGGCCCAGAGAGATCAAGTGACTAACCTAATGTCATAGGACAAATGCGCACGGGATCCGGGGCTCAGTGCTTTTTTCTGTGGTACTCCTGGGGTAGGTGGGTATGCACCGAGGTGCAAAGACCAGAGAAGTCTGAGCAGAGAGTTCATGCTGGAAACCAGAGTGAGAGATAACCATTATGGTTTCTTTTCCCCAGGTAAAACAGACAATTACCAGCCAACAATGGAAGCAAAAAGCCTTACTATCTATGCCCAAGTCCAGAAATCAGGTGTAAGTTCTATACTTTCTTTGTCTGGGGTGAACCTGTCATGTTTCCCATGGACTCCCTGGCCAACCAGTTCACTTTGCATGTCTGATATTCATTGTTCTACATGAGTTATGAAGCAGAAGAAATTTGGAAAGCAGAAGGCAACAACAAGAGCTCTCTAAAAGGGCATTAAACTTCAGTGTCAGATGGGATGATTTATTATTTGAAATGATGGGAAATACTGGTTTCTTTTCTAGCTATCTGTTTCTTCATAGGAAAAAAATGAGGACACTAGAAACATGTAATGTATGGCTCCTTCCCCCTCTGGCATTTTAGGAGTTTACAGTTCCATGTTATCAAACTCTTTCCTTCTCTAAGGAAAAGGATGCAGCTTGAAGAGAGAGGGAATGGTTGAGAAAAGCTTTTGTGTGACATGTTGGTCTGACCCGAGTTTAAGAGTTTGCAAACATCAAAGAGATAAAGAAGGAGGATCTTGAGGATTTTGCCTAGAGAGTGGTTGGCAGATGGAAGAGGATATGTAGGCAGGAGATGAAAGCAGAACTGTGATGGAGCGATGGTTAGATTGAAATGGAAGAAATGGGTTTTTTTTTTAAATAAAAAGTTTTATTGGAGAAAAATAGAACCACCACGTACACAGGGAAAAGAGCACAAAAATTCAACTGATACAGAACTGAAAGTCACAACTACCCAATGTTGTTTGTGATTACTTTTCAATTTCTTAAATGTCTTCCCTTAATTTTTTAAATAGCCTTGCTGATTTTTTTCAGCTGAAATAGCATCAAGTTTTCAAAAAATTAAGAGCCTCAGCAAAGGGACCAGCTTTTAAGATAACAAAGGTGACACCAAGAGTCTCCTAATAGGACCAATTCTACCAAAAAATTCCTGAAGCACATAACTGCTGAGTCTGGTAGAACAGTAGCTCAGAGACCATCAGGGATTAATTAGAACACTGACTCAGATGGTCCAGTATGCAGAGAGGGCAAACAAAAAAGCTGCATTTCCCTGTCAGAGGAGTTCACGTAAGAAAACCAAGGAGGTGCTAAGAAAATACAGGCAATGGCTGCTCAAAATAATTAAGAAGGCATTCTAAATACCACATATTATTAGACAACAGTGTGTAGAGTGATGCAATTAGAAAACACGCAACTTTAAAAAAAATATGGTCACAGGTCTTTGAGAAGTCAAGAAAACAATCAATTGCAAACACAAGAGCTGAAAGTCTTCTCAGCTGAGGGTTGAAAGTGAAAGTGAAAGTGAAGTCGCTCAGTCATATCCGACTCTTTGCGAGCCGGTGGACTGTAGCCCACCAGGCTCCTCCATCCATGGGATTCTTCAGGCAAGAATACTGGAGTGGGTTGCCATTTCCTTCTCCAGGAAGAGATGGATTTTAAAAAAGAGTCAAGATAAAGTTGAAGAGCAGATATGTTAGAAGTAAGAAGGTGGCTAAAGGATAATGGTTAGATATGAAGATATTTTGTCTCTGGGAGTTGGTGATGGACAGGGAAGCCCGGCGTGATGCAATGCATGGGATCACAAAAAGAAGGACACAACTGAGTGACTGAACTGAACTGATGAAGATATTATAGTTTTTCAGAACTGAAAGCAATTCTAAGTGATGTATAAGCCAGAATCTGGCCTTTAGGCTATACGGGAAGGCAAATTCTTGAGTAAAAGATGTGAAGGTAAATACAGTTTTGATTAACACCTTGGGAAATTGCATCAGATGACTGTAAATGCATTTCTGTAAACCAGAGATTAACTCTTGGACAAAAATCTTCTTTCTGCTGTCCCCTAGAGGCCTGGAGGATTTTTTACACAGGCCATGACCACCATTGAGAACCAAACTCCCTTTAAATACATGAGTCCCAAGAGCAACCTCTTTAGCATTTACACTTTCAGGTAATCAGGTTCAAGTTTACCATGGTGCCTTCCCTATCTATTCTATCCCATTTTGATAGCATCTCTCTTTTTACTTCCTGGTGGCTCAGATGGTAAAGAATCTGCCTCCAATGCAGGACACCTGGGTTCAATCCCTGGGTTCAGAAGATCTCCTGGAGGAGGAAATGGCAACCCACTCCAGTATTCTTGCCTGGAGAATTTCATGGACAGAGGAGCCTGGTGGGCTACAATCCATGGGATTGCAAAGAGTCGGACATGACTGAGTGATTAACAGCATGACATACATACTAAACAATACACATTCTATAAAGTGTCACTTCAATGAATTATCCCATCTCCATATCTAATAAAGTCTTCTCATCTTGTTTTCCTTCAAGAGTTTTGACTATCCTTACCCCTTTGTACTTTCATATATATTTTAGAATCAGCTTCTCAAGCATCACAAAATGAGGGAAAACCCTATTAGGATTGCATTGAATCTGCACATCTATTATATTTGAGGATAAATTATATCTCTCAGTATTGAGTCTTTTAGGACCATAAAACTAACCCCTAGATCAAGGAACAGAACATCATCCGGACCCCTAGAAGATCCCCTTGTACGTCTCCTAATCAATCTCTTCTCTCTCCTCCTCAAAGATTCCATATCCTGACTTCCTAAAAATAAAGTTTACTCTTTTTTTGGACTTTATAAAACTGGAATCCTACAGTATTTCCCCCCCTATATCTGGTTTCTTTTGCTTAGTATTACCTTTATAAGATACATCCATGTCTTTGAATTTAGATACAATGTATTCATATTCATTGCTTTATGGAATATCAATATATGCATATACTAGAGTTTATTATTCCAATTAACTGTTGATGGACATTTACTTCGTTTCTAGTCTGAGGGATTATGAAAACTACAGCTATTCGTATTCATATGTGCGCTTCTTGGTAGATACGTGCATATATTTTTGTTGGGGATATGTCTAGAGGTAGAATTGCTAAGTCATACAGTATACATGTCTTCATATTGACTAGACAAGGCCAAGCCGTATTTCAAAACATGTATATCAATTTACTTTTTTACACCTGTATACCAGAGTTTCTGCTGTTACACATTCTAATCAAAACTTGGTGGTGGTGTTTTTCAATCACTAAATTGTGTCTGAGACTTTGCAATACCATGGACTATAGCATGCCAGGCTTCCTTGTCCTTTGCTATATCCTGGTGTTTGTTGAAATTCATGTCCATTGAGTAAGTGTTGCTATCTAACCATCTTATCCTCTGCTACCCACTTCTCCTTTTGCCTTCAATTTTTCCCAGCATCAGGGTCTTTTTCAATGATTTGGCTCTTTGCATTAGTTGGCCAAAGTATTGGAGCTTCAGCTTCAGCATCAGTCCTTCCAATGAATATTCAGGATTGATTTCCTTTAGGACTGACTGGTTTGATTCTTTGCAACCTAAGGAACTCTCAAGAGTCTTCTCTAGCACCACAATTTAAAAGCATGAATTCTTTAGCACTCAGCCTTCTTTATGGTCCAACTCTCACACACATACATGGAAAAACCATAGTTTTGACTTTATGGACCTTTGTCAGCAAAGTGATATCTCTGCTTTCTAATACATTATCTAGGTTTGTCATAGCTTTCCTTCCAAGGAGCAAGTGTCTTTTAATTTCATGGCTGCAATCACCACCTGCAGTGATTTTGGAGCCTAAGAAAATAAAATCTGTCACTGCTTCCACTTTTCCCTACTATTTGCCATGAAGTGATGGGACTAGATGCCATGATCTTAGCTTTTTGAATGTTGAGTTTTAAGCCAGCTTTTTTCACTCTTCTCTTTCACCTTCATCAAGAGGCTCTTTAGTTCCTCTTCTCTTTCTGCCATTAGAGTGTTATCATCTGCATATCTGAGGTTGTTCATATTTCTCCTGGCAATCTTGATTCCAGCTTGTAATTCCAAGTTCAGCATTTCTCATGATGTACTCTGCATATAAGTTAAATAAGTAGGGTGACAATATATAGCTTTGATGTACTCCTTTCCCAATTTGGAGCCAGTCCGTTGTTCCATGTCCAGTTCTAACTGTTGCTTCTTGATCTGCATACAGGTTTCTCAGCAGACAGGTAAAGTAGTCTGGTATTCCCATCTCTTTAAGAATTTTCCATGGTTTGTCATGATCCACATTGTCAAAGGCTCTAGCATCGTCAGTGAAGCAGAAGTAGATGCTTTTCTGGAATCCCCTTGCTTTCTCTAATGTCTGATGAATGTGGCAATTTGATCTCTAGTTCCTCTGCCTTTCTAAACCCAGCTTGTACATCTGGACATTCTCTAGCAAGTTTCACCTTGCTAGCATGTGAAATGAGTGCAATTGTGTGGTAGTGTGAACATTCTTTGGCATTGCCTTTCTTTGGGATTGGAATGAAAACTGACCTTTTCCAGTTCTGTGACCACTGCTGAGCATTCCAAATTTGCTGATGTATTGAGTGCAACACTTTAACAGCATCATCTTTTAGGATTTGAAAGAGCTCACCTGGAATTCATCACCTACACTAACTCTGTTCATAGTAGTGTTTCCTAAGGCCCACTTGATTTCACACTGCCTGGCTCTGGGTGAGTGACCACACCATCATGGTTATCCAGGTCATTAAGACTTCTTTTGTATAATTCTGTGGATTCTTGCCACCTCTTCTTAATCTCTTGTTTCTGTTAAGTCCTTGGCATTTCTGCCCCCTCTTGTGCCCATCCTTGTATGAAATGTTCCCTTGATATCTCCAGTTTTCTTAAAGAGATTTCTAGTCTTTCCCATTTTACTGCTTTCCTCTATTTCTTTGCATTGTTCACTTAAGAAGTCTTTCTTATTTTTTAGTCTTTTGAATTTTAATCATTCTGTTGGATACCTTTTTATAGTTTTCTTTTGCATCCTCTAATTATTAAGCAAGTTGAACAATTTTTCATATTGTTTATTGCCATATTAATATCCTCTTTCTTAAAGCGGCTGTAAAATCTCTTACTTATTTTTCCTTTGAGTCTCAGTCTATTTGGGGTGGGATTATCATAAGATACTTAAATATTTTTAGCTTTTTGGCAGTTATATGTTAGCAGATACCTTCACCCATCTTATGGCTTGCCTCTGAAATTTCTCAGAGATATATTTTGATAAAAGAACATTCTCAATTTTAGCATAGAACAATTTAGTAATCTCTTCCTTTGTAGATAAAACTTTTTGTATTCTGGTTAAGAAATTTTGAAGATATTCCAGTTAGGAATATTAGAAGATATTCTTCTATAGTCTTCTAAAAACAGTGTGGTTTAACTTTTAAACTTATGTCTGTTATTTACCTGAAAATGATGTTTTGAGTATGGTATGAGATGGGTTGTTTTATATTTCTCCATATGGATATCCTATTGACTATATTTAAAAGACTGTTCTTGACCTACTGCAGTGCCACATCATTATAAATCAAGGGTCCATATATGTGTGGATCTATTTTGAAGTTCTCTATTCTGCTGCATTGTTCTATTTCTTTACACTTGCACCAGTACCATACTGTCTTTACAAACCTGTGCTTACAGATTTATTATAAATCTGTGGCTCACATAGTAAAGAATCTACCTGCAATGCAGGAGACCCAGGTACGATCCCTGGATCAGGAAGATCCCTTGGAGAAGGGAATGGCTACCCACTCCAGTATTCTGGCCTAGAGAATCCTATGGACAGAGGAGCCTGGAGAGCTACAGTTCATGGGGTTGCAGAGTCAGACATAACTGAGTGACTAACACTTTCTTTCTTTTCACTTGTTCTTGTTCTTCTCCAAGTTCTTGGCCATTTTTAGTTCTTTGCATTTTCATCTATGTATTTTACATTCAATTTTCAAGATCCTCCTAAAAATTTTGTTGGAATTTTAATTAGAACTGCATTGATCAATTTGAGAAGACCATGTATGTTTTAACACTGAACTTTAAATTCACAAAATGTTATGTCCTTTCCTTTATTTAGATCTTCTTTAATTTCACCCAGTTACTGCTTGAATTATATTCTACAACATTACTTCCAAAGTGCTGGCTAGCTCCTTTTTACTAAAACGATCTTTTACTAAAAGCATTACCTGGGACCTAGTTAGAAATGCAGAAAGTTCCCACCTCAGATCTTCTGAAATGGAACCAAACTTCTAACAAGATCCCTAGGAAATTCTTATGCACATTAAAGTGTGAGAATTCCTGCTCTACCCCAACCACTTCCCGTAGTGGGGAATTCACTGCCTCTCAAGACAATTCATCCCACGTTTGAGCACCTCTTACTCCCCTGGTGGCTCAGATGGTAAAGAATCTGCCTGCAATGCAGGAGACCTGGGTTCAATCCCTGGGTCAGGAAGCTCCTCTGGAGAAGAGAATGGCAACCCACTCCAATACTCTTGCCTGGAGAATATCATGGACAGAGGAGCTTGGAGGGCTATAGCCCACGGGGTTGCAGAGAGTCAGACACAACTGAGCGACTAACATTTTTTTTCTTTTCTTTTACTATTAGAAAGATCTTCATTATACTGAATCAAAATCTTAACCCTAAAGCTTCCAACCTTGGTTTAAAGCTAAAGTACTCTATAGAACAATGTAATTCCTCTTCTACATGGCAATTCATCAGATATATGAAAAGAAGGATCATGTCACACCTTGAATCTTCTTTCCTCTAGTAAACTTTTCCAATTTCTTACCTCTTCCATCAGATGACAAGATTCCAAGTTCTCTCCCAATAAAATCCATGTGCTTCAGCGTTAAGTCTTTCTCTATGTTCAGGAAAGGGAGAGTATAACATTATCCCACACCAGTGCCCCATGTATGTTGAAAGGATGACTTTCCAGGCATCAGATATGTCATCTCCATCTAAGAGAAATGTGGTCTCAGTTAACACCTACACTGATTTTGTCCTCATATTGTAGATTTTAATTCATTCTAAGTAACATTAACAAACATCGACTGAAGGTTTTTGTATGCCCAGCACTGCTTGGTAGGGAAGGCAAAAAAAATATATAGGCTATTTGTCAAGGAACTGATGGCTTGTTTGGAAAAGCAACATATAAATATAACAGAGTGTCTTGTATACAGTGTACAGTTAAGTGCCATAATGTGAGAATTAGACTTTAAGTACCTAAGGAATTTAAGTAAAGGAGAGGTCATTATAAGTTGGGGTAACCAAAGAAGAACAGCATGATGGAAAGTACATGTGCTTTAAGTTAAAATCCTGGCTTTAATACTTCTGCTATGTGCCATTAAAAAAGCACTAAATCTTTCTAGACTTTAGCATCTTCATCTATGAAATGTGAGTAACAATAGTATTTAACATACAGAGTGGTTGTGAGACAAATGGGAAGGTACATGTGAAGAACTTTGTGAACTTAAAACACTTGCATATGTATGGTTATTATTAAGCTCAATATTTAGATAGGAAAGAGAATTGCTGAGAAGCCATGAGAGTGAGGAACAGCAGGACCTCTGCATGTTGTGAGTGATGTGTGTGTGTGTGTGTGTGTGTGTTAGTCGCTCAGTCGTGTCCTACTCTTTGCAACCAGATGGACTGTAGCCCGCCAGGCTGCTCTGTTCATGGGATTTCCCAGGCAAGAATACTGGAGTGTGTTGCCACTACCTTCTCCAGGGGATCTTCTCAGGGATCCAAACCTGGGTCTCCTACACTGCAGGCAGATTTTTTATAGTCTGAGTATCAGAGAAGTCCTATGTAGGTGATACAAGTGAGACTAAAATACGGTATAAATCTCATTCTCATCAGCTATCCATGTAAGAGCCACACCAATTTCAGTTCACTATGAGGAAGACTTTTAACACAGCTAAGAAGTGGTAATGGTAAATCAGGCTGCTCACAAGGCTGTAAGCTCCAAGACGTCACTTGAGGAGTCTTAAGCAAAACCCAGGGAATTGGGTTCCAGGGAATCCGGAGGAGAGTTTTCACCTGAAAAGGACCAAATGACTCCAAAGAACTTTCCAGCTCATAACTTCTTGATTCTGTGCTTCTGCATGAGTAGAATTAGATGGAAATAACTCGCTGCTCAACTAACGTCTTGTCTACTTTGTTTCCCTTGTAGTCTGTTCAGAAGAAACCTGACCCCCTGCCAGCACAGGATCCCTGTACCACCATCTACGTCGCTGCCACAGAGCCTGTCCCAGAGCCCGTCCAGGTGAGGCCTTGCTCTGTAAAGAGGGGATAGGTGGAGGCAGGAAAAGGGTGGAACCTGTGTAGAGCTGAAATGGAGAACGCAGGTCCTAGCAAGCAGGTGGCAAGGAGCATCTGCAGCCTCGACTGCAGGGCTTCTGGGAAAGCCCTCGTGGCTTCTCACGTGCAGTTCCTGCTCGCTGTCTCTTCACCAGTGTTTCTCTGAGAGCTGTCTAAGGACCACATCAGAATCAGCTGGCATATTTCTTAAAAATAAAGATTCTGAGAACTTCTCTCTAGGATCTGTTCAATCAGAATGTCTATAGCAGGTCACCAGGCATCTGCACATTAAAAAAACAACATCTTCCAAGTGATCCTGATGCATGCTTAAGTTCAGGAATTGCATCTTGGGTCCAGGAGTTCTCGAGTCCAGCTGCATATAGTCAGGGGAGCTTTGTAAAAATGCCCACGCCTAGTTTCCATTCAGCCCTATTTATCAGAATATTTAGGAGTAGAGCTCTGCAAACGTGTAAAGAATATGATGCCTAGCCCACCAGTTTTATTCTGTTGCAATATCAGAATGTAGTAAGTTTACTTGACAAAAATCTTCTTTTTACTATATGAACAGGAGTAAATTCTGGGCTGAAATCTTGGCTCCAATTGGGCTTTATTAAATAAAGCATTTTAGGAGATAATGGAGGATCAAAAGACCACAGAAATATCTACTTTTACCTATTTTCCTTCAAGCCTACTGTATACATACTCAGCAATGCCTGGAAGGATGCCTTGTCTCCATTTTGAGGTTTAGTTACAGAACACTCCTATCCAAAGGGAAGGAAAAACATAAACCTGACTTTAAAAGCTTTAAAAATCATATAGATTTTTAATGATGTTTTCTTGGGGAAGAAACACTGCACTTGGTATATATTCACATTTTACAGCAAAACCACCTGAATTCCCCACTCCTGTCTCTTTGTGTCTCTGACTCTTGAATCTCCTCTCCTATGAGAGTTCTTTGCTCACAGTCTTCATCTCCTCCCCATCTCTCTCCCACCAGAACCACGTCTTCCTTCTCCCTTTAGGTATCACTGATCTTCCCTTTTTTAAAACTTGGTACTTTAGAACTCTCTTGGCTGCTCTAAAGTGAGTGCCAGTCCTCAGATGACTGGGTGAGTTCTCCTAGTCTCCCTGCTGGCTTGCATATGCTTGAAGGAAACTGTAGCCCATCTGTGGGCAGGCAGACAACCTGGGGACCTGAGTGCTGCCTCTAGCTCTATGGTTTCCCAGAGGTCTGGTGGTTAGTACTTTGCCTTCCAATGCAGGGGATGTGGATTCGATCAATCCCTGATTGGGGGCTAAGATCCCACATGCCTCAGGGCCCAAAAACCAAAACATAGATCGAAAGCAAACAAACTCAACAGAAACTTTAAAAATGATTCATATCAAAACGATCTTGACAAACCCAGCTGTGACAGATGCTGAGCAAGTTGCAATGCTACCTGATTCTCGAGAACCTTTCCTTTTCCTGAGCATCACACTTTCCATTTACAGCCTGTAAACCTAGTGCTGGACCCTCCACTCACAGACCTGTTCTGTTTTCCCCCAGGAATCAGGCTCCTTCACAGTCTATGCCAGTGTGACGCTTCCAGAGAGCTGACATCACAGACTCAGTGAAAGGACTTTCTGAAGGAATATAGAAGAGGCAAAATAAACACTGAGCTTGGTCCCAGATCCCAAGTACTCTGTGACATCTGCACATGTGCCTTCTTCTCGGCCCGGCTCCCTGGTGATGCTTCTTCCACATCTACCTGTGACATGGATACGGAAGTGAGGCTTCCCAAGCGCTTAGCCTGCTCTGCGAGTGGCACAGGCTCAGAGCAGCGAGCTGGTTGATCTAACTTTACATCTCTGGGGTGTGGCAGATGAAATGGATAATGCTGGTCCAGTCAGCCTGGACCTTCAGGTGTCTTGCCTTTTGCCGCAGCTTGATGACAGCTAAAGGCAGAAAGCCAGCACAGGACATCTAGGACCTATCTCAGACAGCTGACCACCAGCCACAGAGTCTGGAACCGCTTACACCTTGGCTGCCCGTACTCAGTCTGGGAGCTGCTTGTGATCACCAAGTAGACTTCATCAAGGCTCTGTGCCTCAGTTTCTCTCTCTGAATAGACAGTGAAGGGTGAATTCCTCATTGTATGTAAAACACTCTGACATTATTCTATCAAAGAAGCTATTAAAGTATTTTATTTGTAAAACCTGGAAGCTGAAGAGTCAATAAACTAAAAACATGATTTTGAGGTCTCTGAACTTTGAATAACAGAATGAAAAAAATCTAAGATTCTTAAGAGTACTGTTTTGTGGAAATGGCAGTTGGATTTAAAGAAAATCGGCCAGTGTTTGGTGATGCTATTACAAAGGAACTTGATTTTCACTTCCCAAAATGATTTTTAAATCCTACTTCTCTATTTACTCCATTGAGCAACAAACCTGGAGCCTCAACTAAGACTGCAAACTGACTCTGAGACCATTTTACATCCATGGCCTCATGTCTTCAGGGTCTCTATCAAACAAGTCTTAATCTTTGCATACCTCTCCTCACCACTAAACATATCCTGAAGTAGAAAATTAACATATTTTGGCCTAAGAGTTTCAACTAATTGAATACTTAATAGTTTAAACTACAGGCTGCAGACAGAAAGAGATTCTTCCAGTGAAGTCCTATTTCCCTTCTATTCTCTGGTTTCAGACAGGCCTTCTTGAATTTAAGCACTTCTTCTTTCTGATAGGGTCTTGTATGACCTCAGCGAACACTTTAAGAAACTGCCAACAGTCTTACAACTACATAACAAGGGTCACCAACTTTCCAGCCCAAAACTCTGAGGTCCTCATAACCTTATACTTTACCCTCTCTAGTCAATCAATTCACATTTTAGTTCTGCTGTTCAGTGCATCTCATTTCTTAGAACCAATTCCAGTAGTATTCCAATTTGTGATGAACAGGAACTGACACTGAATTTTTTATATAGAAAAGGAATCTACTGAAAAGATGCTGGTTAGTTCATAACTACTGGGAGGTTCTGTAAAATGATGGTTTGAAAATGAGCAAGAAGTGGGGAGACTTTGGCTGTGGCTAGGAGTACAGCCCAAATAACAAAACCAGCCCAGGGATGACAATGCTGGCTGTACTCCTATTGTCCTCCCAGCACTAGACCCAGACTCCACCACTCCCTCCCTGCCTCAGCTAGACTTGGAAACTCCAAATTGCTGTTGTACTCTCTATACCAAAGTGATTTCTCCAGGGTCCATTCTTCATCTTTCCTTCTCTAGTTTCTGAATCAGAAGCTAAGATCAAGCGACCAATCCCAGGTCATATGTCCATGTTCTACTTCCAAGGGAGGTTGGGAATTGAACCTCTGGCATTTTCCACTTTCATCGTTTTGGTTGGGTCTTCCACAAACACAATGAGTGGGATTCAATGCTGGGCAGGTGCACGCACACACACACACACACACTTACCACTATACCACTTGTGTATAGTCTTAAGCTCATTAGCTGCCTATACTCAAAAACTGAGGAACTGCTAATCAGGATTTGCAAACCCCAGGGCGATGAGCAATTACTCATTTACTATAACTCAGACTTTTTAGCAGCTCAGTTCCCAGCAGTTGGGTTTTTCCTGTGGCTGAATTCCACCTGATAGACGGGCAGAAACAAATGGGGGAAAGAAGAGGCTATCCCTTCAAAATTCCCTTACCAAGGCTTGTGAACTCACTGGGAGAATGGCTACATCTTGGAATCTTTTTGGCTATCCTTCAAATAACATTCAGTGTATGTCTTACATCATCAGGTCCAGATTCAAGTCGAAAACTAGAGAACCCCTCAGATTATTCTTTTACTGCTCCCCAGATTTCCCCTAAGGCATTGTGGGTAAGCTGGAGCTTTCTTTTTCCTCAGTCTTAAAAAAAAAAAATTAAAAATTAAACTGATACTTTAGAATCTGGTTTCCCCATGTTTCTCCAATGTTTTCTTTTGACTGAGCATATCTGAATTCTGGAGAACTCAGGAGGAACAGACCCATTCTCAGTTTTAAGGGGCTGGGGTTCTGAAATAAACTGGGCGTAACCTTAAGCTTCCTTAGGACACTTACTGTAGTCACACAACCAGGATCTGATTGATGAAGAGTCCATATGCTGACTGTGAAACCACTGACTACAGTAAGTTACTTCTCTTCCTCAAGATTCTGTTTCTACCTCCTGGAAAGAGTAAAATACAGACAGTCCACCCAAGAAATTGTATTTTCGTCTTTGTTACCCAGAGAATATGTAACATAGCAATGTGGCAAAACAGATTCCACAACCTTGTGTCTCTATCGCTATAGTTGTAAAGCTTGAAGGTGGATGATTTGATTTGATGAACTGCGAGGTTGTCCTTTTCCTAGGGGAAAAGTCAGGAGTCACACTCCACACAGGGAAGAAACAATTTTTAAAGGATTAATTTGTGTCACTGCCAGAGTTATTGCCTCCCCTGAATTTCTTCAACTTCCCCTTGTGGAGCAAATCTAGATTGGGTTTCTCAACTGCAGCACTATTGACATTTTGGTTCAGATAACTGCTTGATATGGGGGACTGTTCTGTACATCGTATGATGTTTAGCAGCATCCCTGGCCTCTGCCCATTAGATGCCAGTAGCACATCCCCTGTTCCTGGTCATGGCAATCAAAGATGCTTCCTGACATTACCAGATATTTTTGCAGGGAAAAATCTTCCTACTGACTGAGAACCCCCAAATTGAGAATAACTGATCTAGAAACATACTGGCCATCTAGTCATCTTTGCTTAGACTAAATATACATGAATATACCAAGAAGTGGATCTATCAAAAATCATATTTTCTATATACATTAAAGATTAACTACAAGGGGAAAAGAACAGTAGGAAAGGCAAATGAAGGATAGTCAACAGGAATTTGCTGTATGGCTCAGGAAACTCAAACAGGGGCACTGTATCATCCTAGACGGATAGAATGGGGAGGGAGATGGGAGGGAGCTTCAAAAGGGAGGGGATATATGTATACCTATGGCTGATTCATGTTGAGGTTTGACAGAAAACAGCAAAGCTCTGTAAAGCAATTATCCTTCAATAAGAAAATAAATTTTTTAAAAAATCATATTTTGAAAGTGGCCACCTAGTCACTTAAGAATGACCCACATCTGCCGATATTATGATGGTTATCTACATCGAGCTCCTTGTCCAAACCCTACCTCAAACCTGAATGATGTCTGGGTGAAGATCTGTAGAAGATCTGTAGAACTTACAGGCTATGATTATAGCCAGAAAGGATTTTGTGAAGAGTTCCACAGAGCAGCCACTAGAGGGAGATATAGCAATTCAATCCACCCTACACCTGCATCCCCAACACCACTTTGCCAGTATTTGAAGGATGCAATCATGGACTGGCTGAAATTGTGGCTGAATTCTCACCAGTTCACAACATTTACCTGCTGGAGGGAGAGTTGATCCGTTCCCTTAGAGATAATGAGATACAGTGTGGGTTTGTGACAGACTTTAATCAAAGTTGACTGCCAAAAGTTTATCTCACAGAACTCCTAATTCTCCTCAGTGCCGGACTCATTCAGTGAATAGTTTCTGGGCTTCCCTGGTGGCTCAGCGGCAAAGAATCTACCTGCCTGCCAATTCTGGAGACGTGGGTTCGATCCCTGGTCTGGGAAGATCCCACAACTTCTGAGCCTGTGTTCTAGAGCCTGGGAGCCATAACTACTAAGCCAAGTGCTGCAACTGCTGAAGCCTGCATCCTCTGGAACCGGCGCTCCTGCAACAAGAGAAGCCCCCACAACGAGAAGCCCATGCACTGCAATAGAGAGTTGCTCCTGCTCACCACAGCTAGAGGAAAAGCCTGCGCAGCAACAAAGACCCAGCACAGCCAAAAATAAAGTAATTTTTTAAAAAACACACACAAAATTAAGCTTCTACTAAGTGTTAGGGATTGTCATCCAGTGCATGTGTGCTCAGCCTCTCCGACTCTTTGCAATTTTATGGACTGTAGCCCACCAAGTTCCTCTGACCACAAGATTTTCCAGGCAAGAATACTAGAGGGAATTGTCATTTCCTTCTCCAGAGGGCTTTACTGACCCAGGGATTGAACCCGCATCTCCTGCATTGCAGGTGGGTTCTTTACCTCTGAGCCACTGGAGAAGCCTCTGTGGTACATATATACAGTGGAATATTGCTCAGCCATAAAAAAGAATGAAATAATGCCATTTTTTGCAATGTGGACCTAAAGGTTTTCATACTAAGTAAGTCAGACAGTTCTCTGACTTATGTCAAATGTCATATGATATCACTCATAAGTGGAATTAATATTTTAAAAAGATACAAATAATTTATTTACAAAATAGAAATAGACTTACAAATATTGAAAACAAACTTAATGGTTACCAAAAGGGAAACATTGTGAGGAGGAGGGATAAACTGGAAGCTTGGTATGACTACTACCTATAAGATCGATAATCAACAAGGACCTACTGTATAGCACAGGGAACTCTACTCAATATTCTGTGATAACCTATGTGAGAAAATAATCTAAAAAAGAATAAATATATGTATAGCTGAGTCACTTCGCTCTACACCTGAAACCAAC